CCAGATGACTTCTGTGGTGAGGAGCGCTTTCCTTCAGCTTTGGCTGATCCATCAACTATGTCCTTACTTGGATGAGCAGAGCCTTGCAATAATGACCCATGCTCTGGTAGCTTCACGGTTGGACTACTGTAACCTGCTCTACATGGGACTGCCCTTGATGATGGTCCTGACAGACCAGCCAGGTTGCTAGCAGGAACTGGCAGATATATACATATAATGCCTGTCCTGTACCATCTGCACTGACTTTCAACTCAAGTCTAGGCTCAGTTTAAGGTGCTAGTGATGACATATAAAGTCCAAAATGGCATAGGACCAGGACATTTGAAGGAGCACCTCCTTCCATATGTATCTGCCTTACCTCTAAGATGTGGAGTGGAGGTCCTTCTCCTGGAGTCCTCTTTGAAGAAGGTCAGAAGAGTGGTTACGCAGAGGAGGGCCTTCTCTGTGGTGGTGCCCCGGCTATGGAATGGGCTCCCCAGAGTGGTGCACCTGGCACTGATGCTTCGTTAATTTTAGTGCCAGGCCGAAAACTTTTATTGCCCCAGCATTTTAAACGTTAGTACTGTTTTTAATATTGATTGCATATATTATTGTGATGCTGTGTCTTATTTATATTATTGCCACCCTAAGACACTGCAAAGGGCAGGATACAAAAAATGTTAAATAAATAAATAAATGATGAGCTGTTATTTATACAGCCAACTTTTTAGAGCCATCAGGCCCAAATGGGCATGAAATAGGAGCTACTTTGCCTTGGGCTGGCAGCTAGGGAGGGAGGAACAAAACTGTTAATTGTGATTTCTTTCATTCTCCTGTGTAAATTAAGCTTGAACACTGGGCAGTGTCCAAACTTAAATTCAACCCGAATCTTGAAATTCTATTTATTGAAGCAAAACAATAATAAATCAGACAACAAATTTATTTTGCACGTGAATTTCTCCCAATAAATTCATTTTGGTATTCAAAGCTTCCTAATATATAAATGTTTGCAAAGAAATTCCATAATATATTATATCTTAGAACCATTTTCCATATATATGGTTTTTTAAAATGGAGAACTTCACTGCAAACTTCAGAGAAGAACCACTTTTACAGGATATTTTGAGTATTTTGGGTATTGGTTTAACAATACAAAATTAGGACATTTCACATGAAAAGAAAATCTAAGCACATTTCTCATCCATCTCTACCTCACATCTTCCTTGCATCTAACACTATGCAGCTCAGAGAAGATGTTTATGAGTTGTCCTTTTGGGCCAACTTTAGGGTTACCAATCTAGGAAAAAAATCTCCACTTGAAGCCTTGCTGGAGTCAGATATGCAAGGCAAACAGCAGGAGACATCCTCGCAGCTGTCATCCAGGAAACTCACACTACTGGATGAGAATGGTTTGTTTTTAAGTTACTTGTGATATTCCTAGAGGTCTATAAGATGGGAAGGGGGGTGAGCGTGTGGTCCTCCAGGTATTCATGGAATCCAACTTTTATCAGCCCCTGTAAAGCTGGAGTAAGGATGGTGGACTCTGTAACATGTCAAAGTCCCAAGAGCCAGAGTTTCCCCATCCACGCTGTAAATTAAAGTTGTGCATGGTCTTGCCCCACCTCCTTCTTCCTTTTTATACTATGGGGACAAATATAACAGCTAGATACTCCCTTCTGAACAGCATATCAACCACAGAAGTGTATCCCAATGGCCAAGTTTATATCCTTGATTTAAATGTGTCAAGATCTTGGTGTTCTGCCATAGCTGCTGCCGCCGCCTCCTACCTACACCAAAAGCCCTCTCTATTCACAGTTATACCAAGAATAAAACCAGCACAGTCACATAACACACAAGCCCTGCAAAACTCAAAAAGCATGGGATGGGGATGGAAATCCTGCCCTACCTCCTCAAATTTCCAACGTTGCCATGTTAGCCAGTTATTTCTGGGGGACAGTGCATATGCATGTTGGGAGCAGGGTTAGAATACACAATCCCACCCCATCATGGTTGGATTTTAGCCCTCACTTACTCAGAAAAATGCATTAAGGGCTTCATAAGCTTGTGGAAAGTGTCTAGAAAGTTGTTCTTGTTATCATTTTCTTGAATGTGGAAATATGAAGTCATTGATTGAAGGGGGATCAATGATAGATGCAAGTCTGGTGAAAAGCATTGCTCAACAGAGAACTGTTCCCTTCCTCTTCCTCTTTCTCCTGGTCTCATCTCATCTTTTCTCCCTAAGCTTTATTTTATTTTTTCTGAAGTTTCAGGTGGTATTTGCAGCAACTGCAGTGCTAGTTTAGCCATCATTTTCCACCCTTCCAGTGTTTCCAGACCTATTGCTGATCTGGGTCATTGTGATGGGAAAATGGTGGAGATTCTGTGTAGAAAATCCTACAAAATGACATTCTTCTAGAAGTGTGAGAAAAAGAAGTATTCAAAATGGTTTTTGGGAAAGACTGTCTGGGAAATGTTGGCTGAGTTCTAGTACTTTTTCACAAAGTGTGTAATATACCCATGCAATTCAAGGACATACCATGTGGTGAGAATCATTATCACAGAATGCATTTTCAAAACAGGGGAGTATGAGAATTCTGTTTCTGTTTGCAAATTATACAAATATGTCCTTTTCAGAGTCCCAAAAATGAACATGAGTACTATTTTCAGAAAATATTCACAGCTTGTGTTCATCACTGAAAGGGTGTGGTTCTGCACTTGAGCAAATCCACAGCTTAATGGTTTAGCTTATGCAGGGAATGTGAACGTTTTGCCTGTGCACGTTTTAAAATCTGGACTTTTCCTGCTGTGAAGGAAAAGAACACAAACAAGTTGAACTGAGTGTCAAGGAAGAGTCAGAGAACTTCAGTGAACTTGAAGATTGCCTGTCCACCCATTCCTATTTCAAAGTTCATTAGATAAGTTCATGAGTAGAAAGTGAAGTTTGTCAGTGGCTTACTCTTTAGACATTATGACTCAAGCAAACTTCCTATAGAGAGGGAGTGTACCTCTGGAACAGGAGGAATCGAACATTAAGTCAGTGATTCCCAACTTGGGCTGCTAGGGGGATGCACATGATCATTGGCTAGGCTGATTGGTGGTACTCTGTTTATTGATATACATCACTTGCTATATGTTTAGTCATAAATTGTGCTATCAATTTCTGTATTAAATTGGATTTTTAAAAATCTTCATTAAACAGTGCATGGGTGTGCACATTTGTGTCTCTCCCTCTCTTGTTTTCTCCCTCCCCCTATCACTAAGCATCTCTCTAAATGTTTTTTTTTTTTTTTTTCAAAATACACCCCACCTTCCTCCCCCGCATCAGGCCACTCATTAAATGAAAAATCGAATGCAAACTGACTTTTGATCTGCACATCTGTTCATGAGATGCGGATCAGGTCAGTTCATGGGATTTACAAAGACGGGAATGTTTAAACATCCCTATCACATTCTCTATCCTCAGCATGTATATCTAACCCAGTTTGCTGCTTCATACTAATTCATGTCTGCATACTGAAGCAGAATGCTTATTTATTTATTTATTTATTTATTAAAACATTTTTATGCCGCCCCATTCGCCGAAGCCTCGGGGCGGCTTACAACATAGATAAAACAAGTTAAAATCCATATAAAATAATCTTAATTAAAACTCACATTATAAAATAAGCCGCCCTGGCCAGATAAAATTCAATTGTATTTAGCATTTAAAATGTTGCTTAAATAAAAAGGTCTTAGCCTGGCGCCGAAAAACAAATAACGACGGCGCCAGGCGGACCTCTCTGGGGAGCGCATTCCATAACTTAGGCGCCACCGCTGAGAAAGCCCTTCTCCGAGTAACCACCCTCCTAATTTCTCTCACGGAGGGCTCCCGGAGAAGGGCCTCTCCCGCCGATCTCAGGGGGCGACTGGGCAAATATGGATGTAAGCGCTCCTTCAGGTAACAGATGCAGAGCAGCTTAACAGATGCAGAGCAGTTGTGACATGATATTGTGAGATGCCATTCCTCAGAACAATAATAATTAAAGTCTCCTACATAAATTCACCACTAGGATTCAGTGAAACATCTCAAAGTTGTGACTGCTGTACCATACCTGTACCTTCCTATCCATCTGTATTTCTCTCTGTGTGTCTCTCTTATTTTTTTCCTTATGTATGTCCCATCAGAAATTGGAAGGCTTAATTTTCTGGTCTGGTTTCTTTGACAAATAATGCATTAATAAAACAACTCTGAAAACAGGCTGACATAAAAGCCTTCCTGGAGATCTTGCAGGGAGTCCTAAATCACCATTTTGTTAAATTCACTGTTGGAAAATTTACTGAAGCTCTTTCTTGTTTGTCAAGCTGGTTTCTATGTTAAAGCTGCATAATATACCTGCATACTCTCATTTTCAAGCTCTGCTTAGCTGTCTCATTGGAGTTGTTTTGTTGCAAACCACTGATGTCAATCCATAAGGTATTCAAACTCTCAGGTGGTAGGGTTTCAGAAGTCATTTCATTGATAAAGGATAATCTGTTAACTAGTGATTGTCTGCAGCTTTGCATTAAAATGTAAACAGATGGCAAGTTTAATGAAAAAATGGTGCTTGTTGGCATAATACTATTTGTTGTGTCCTGTTAAAAAACAGCAAAAACAGAAAACAAAAAAGCTATTCTGCCTACTTAATGTATCGACAGAATTATCAGCAGTTGCTATGAAATACAACATGAGCTGTCCAATAAACGTGATGGATCATCTAATTAACTCTTGATTCACAGTAGTTTTAAAAAGATGCTACCTACTGGTCTTGATGACAGCTTCTAACCTTCATGCTGTGAGCATGCAGCTAATTACTCCTTGGACTATAATTCCATCCTGATTCTCAGTCCATCATTTTTGTCGTATAAATTATAACACAATTAAGCTCCTCAAATCCACTGGGGCTATAAAGATGCCATCTGTGATAGATTGATTGGATTGTGTTGCAATGCATTCAGGCCATACACATGTATTTAGGTAAATCTCAAGGATGTCCATTTTGTAGGTTTTCCATTGATCGGAACACTGACCTTGAGAGACAATTCAACATCAATACTCAAGATGGAAGAATAACATTGGCAACCCCATTGGACAGAGAAACAAGCACATGGCACAACATAACTATTGTAGCCACGGAAGACAGTAAGTGATTGTCCATTAGTGCTTGCTTTGTTATTTGACTATTTCATCATCAAAGCCTGCTTTCTAGTGTGGCATCAGGAACCATTCTTCATGATGTAGGCTGTGGTAAATATTAAAAAGTGTTCTCTAGTATGTCTGTTCTGCATACATTACTGTTAGCTGGTGCTGCTTTTAATAAGTTATGCCATCAAATTGAAATTATAATGGCAACAAATGGAATAGTATGGAAAAGATGACAAAATAGTGTTTCTAATGGACTGTTTTGTAGCAGTATCTAAGGGCTGGCATGTTTGTGGCATGTAGTCATCTTACTTTTGCCTTGAAATACATAGGCCTTTGGATCTGGCCAGTCCCACTGCCTTTCAAAAGAACAGTGTAACAGATGTAATAAAAATGTAGCCATCTATAGAAGATACATTTTCAGGTGTCTTGCCAAGAAAACACAATCATCACACAAATCAGAGAACAGTGATGACAAGGAATTGTCAGTACCAATCTATTCTTTGTTGAGAAATAAAAGCATCACTTACTTCTAATGTCTGTTTCACATGTGAGGCAAGCATGACCCAAAAAGTTATTTTCTGGTTCAAATATCAAGAGAAGTCAACTTCTCATGCCTTGTTTCTTTTATAATTTTTGCCTAACTTGCAATTTAAATATTTCTCTTTTTGTGAGCCTCCCTGAGGCTTCGGCAAATGGGGCGGCATAGAAGTCCCCTAAATAAATAAATAAATAAATAAATAAATAAATAAATAAATAAATAAAATAGTACAGTTCTAACAGCAATATTTAATTAAGGAAAAACCAACAATGGAAGACACAGTTGCAGTATACAGTCATTATAACTTTTAGTTTGGACCTTAAATGATTGTCTTAGAAGGCTTCTTACTACATTTGGTCCAAATTAAAACAAAGAAACAAAATTGCAACCCACCCCACCCCCCACAACAAAAGAGAAAAACCCCTTCCAAATTCCATGTGCTACTCTCATTTAATCTTCAAATATTTTATTGGCTAGACTTTACTTTCAATCCTTTTCTTCAATGGTTTTCCTTACTAATTGGCATAAATCAGATTAATCCTGATTATATTGAATTGAACTTAATGTAAAAACAAGATGAGTTTAGAAAGTGGAAACAACATCAGGACAAGAATTTATTTTACATTGTTTCATCATAATGCAATTCTTTATGTGCAAAATGCAGGTTGTCCTGTAAATGTGAAGTCCTCACTCTTTTCTGGACATTACACTTTAATAAAAAGTCAGAGCTCTCTGCTGTGACCTGTCCGTCTTGGGTGACCCTGCACAGCATAGCTCATAGCTTCATTGAGCTACGCAAGCCCCTTTGCCACGACAAGGCAGTGATCCATGAAGGAGTGAGCTGCTTTGGGAGACAATAATTGTCTGGAAAGAAGGATAAAAATGCAGTAATCAATTGATAAATTATGAATAATAATTTTGTGGTCTTATGCCTATTTTCATTTTAATGATATGCACTCAGACAACTGGCTTCTCCAAATAAATATGTAATGAACAGTTCTCTCCCTCCCTCCTTTCTCTATAGCAGACTCAGATGAGAGTCTGACCACCACCCTTTCATTAAAGCTCAACAGATTACAAAACAACATGAATCAAAGTCTTGTTTTTTTGAAATGTGGGAGAAGCATTGGCCAATGTGACCTAGACTCCAATCTGCAAAATCCCTTCTTTCCCTCCCTTTCAGGGAAAAAAACAAAACAAAGAAACACCTGACTGCACCTTCAAGGGGGGGTGCAGCTGCTTGAGGGCTGGATGACAGGAATGCCAGGCACTTCATAACTGGTCTGCTCATTTTGCCTGCCAGCTCCTGCCAGGTTCAGAGAATTCCCCCTCCATTCCTCCTTTCCCTTCCCCAGCTCTGAAATGCCTCCCTCTTTTTCCAAGGTAGGCTGGTTCTCACAGTCTGCCTGCATATCATCAGTAGGGAATCTTGAAACTGCAAAGGGAACTGCCCACCTCTGCTGACAAATCTGCTTGAGCAGAACGTAACATGGAGGAGCCGGGACCTCTCTCTAAGAACAATTTTGGAAAATGAAAGTAGATTTATTCAGAAAAGTTTGTGACCCGAGTAAAATTCAAGGACACTTCATGCTTGGAGTTGACCAGAGATGTTTCAGGTGCATGGGGAGAGATTTTTTTTTCCTTAGGAGAAATTGTAGAGCAAGATGGCTGAGCAAGGATTATTTGATTGGGTGGTATTGAATGAGATGGTTAATCTTTGAGTTACGCTGATATCTGTTATGGTTCCAAACAGCACCCAGTCTCTGCCTGACCAGTTACATGCGATATTGGGAAGGTTTTATCTTGAATGATAGATTGATTTTAAAGGGGTGATTGTCCTGTGTGGCCAGAGTGTGATGCCTTTCCCCAGAGATAGCCCGCAGGAAGTAAGTTTCATTGAGCCCAATTAGATTTATTTCTGAATCAGAATAAATAAAATGTCTTGCAGTGTCATCAAAGGGATTGGATATCGATGTTTAAAATGACCATATCATTAATTAGAAATGCTGCTGCTGCTGCTGGGTTATATAGGCATTCTTTTTTTTAATGGTCAGCAAATGAGACTTGAAAAAAATATGGAAATGCTTGTTCTAGAAATACACTGGTACCTGAATCAGAAATAATGGTTGCCTCACACTTAATCTGCTGGTTTTAATCTGCTGCTTTACTGGGATGCTGTCTTCCATTTTCATTGGAAGGCTCTGAAGGGTGATAGCTTTATGAAAAAAGTCCCACAAATTTCTTATGAAAGAACAATAAATACCTGTTTCTCTCTACTGATGGAAGACTTTTACTTCTAGTGGAAACTTCCATGTATAGAAAGGTGGGGGATGTACATTTCAGTGATAACCCTTTCCATCTCCGTCCTTTGTGCTCTAAATGATTAGGTTCATTCTCTCTCTCTCTCTCTCTCTCTCTCCCTCCCTCCCTCCCTCCCTCCCTCCCTCTCTCTCTCTCTCTCTCTTTCTCCCTCTCTTTCTTTTCTGTAACTCTATGGGAAACATACATGAATGTTTTTTCCCTGAAAACTGTCTTCCAGATTTACATGGCCTGTGCTATGTGCTAGAACAAGGCCATTGATCTTATTAGTATTCCCTTTGTATCATTTACTACAGCATTTGCCCATTCACAGCCTAGCAACAGGGAATCCTTTCATGCTTCTCTAGGACAGATGTCCCTCTTGAACATGCTGGAGAGTTATCATGGGTGCACCTTTTATAAGTTATACTGCAGCTATTACTTGGAAACTAGTAGAAGGGCCCCATGCAGAAGTTTATATTTCTTGGGATTAGGGGCAAGAAAGAAAGTAATTTATTTATGTTTTGATGCAAATTCACATAGAAACATAGAAACAGAGCGAGTCAGAAGGGGCCTTCCAGGCCATCTAGTCTTACCTCCGGCACCAGCTGGCTCCTCTCATGACATGCCCACCATGGGCATGTCAAGCCTATCTTTGAACATCCTCTCCGATGGGGCCTCAACGACCTCTTGTGGAAGCCCATTCCACACCTTTGGCGTCCTAAATGTCAGGAAGTGCTTCCTTGCATCTAAATGAAACCTTGGCTCCCTGAGCTTTGCTCCGTTGGAGCGCGTCCTGCCTTCCTCTGCAGGGGAGAACAGGTCTCTACCCATCTCCATGTGACACCCCCTCACATCTTCCCTCTGAGTTTCCTCTTCTCCAGGCCAAAGAGACCCAGTTCCCTCAGTCTCGCCTCATGCCCCATCCCCTGAAAACCGGCCACCAACCTTGTGACCTTACGCTGCCCTGACTCCAACCTGGCTATATCCTTTCTGTAATGAGGGGCCCAAAACTGAGCACAATACTCCAGTTGCGGGCACACCAGAATCGTATAGAGTGGTAGTAATACCTCTCTTGATCTAAAAGCCACACTTCTGGCTATGCAACCAAGGGTGGCATTTGCCCTCTTGACCACCACATCACACTGCTGATTCAAGTTTAGCCTGCAGTCAACCAGTACCCTGAGGTCCCTTTCACAAGTGCTGCTCTCCAGCCACTTGTCATCCAACCTGTACTTATGACAGCTATTCCTATGCCCCAAGTGCAAGACCTTGCACTTATCCACATTGAACGCCATCCTGTTTTCTCCTGCCCACTTCCATAGTCTGTCCAGATCCTTTTGGATCTGGAGAACCTGCTCCTCAGTTGTGGCCACTGCTCCAGTTTTAGTATCGTCTGTAAATTTGATCAGCAGACTGCTCACCCCTTCTTTTTTATTATTATTATTATTATAACATTTCTATGCTGCCCCTTGCCGAAACCTCGGGGCGGCTTACAACATAATAAAATACATTGAAATACAATAGAACATAATAAATTACCGTTAACTACAAAAATACAAAAAATACACTGAGTTATAAATATAAAATTAAAATTATCAGTATAAAATAAGTAAATAAAAATATAGGAGGAGAAAAGAGAAGGAAGAAGACGTTGTCCTGGCCAGATCATATGTTTTAACAATTAAAATGATGTTTAAATAAAATGGTCTTTACCTGGCGCCGAAAAACCAGTAACGACGGTGCCAGGCTGACCTCTTTGGGGAGTGAATTCCATAGGTTGGGTGCCACCACAGAGAAAGCCCTTCTCCGAATACTTACTCTCCTAATTTCTTTCATGGAGGGTTCCCGGAGAAGGGACTCTCCCGCAGATCTCAAAGGGCGGTCGGGCATATACGGACGTAAGCGCTCATTCAGGTAGCCAGGACCCAAGCCGTTTAGGGCTTTATAGGTCATAATCAACACCTTGAATTGGGCCCGGGCTTCAATGG